TACACCGGAGAAACTGTCTTCATCACTGACCTCACTGCTACCACTCCATACCCTCTCGCCAGAGTCCACCTGGATTGTCCCTACGTGAACGGAGAAGTCCAAGTCGCCGTCAGGGAAAAGCCTTTTCCCATGCCTGGAGTGCAACTTCTCCTAGGCAACGACTTGGCAGAAGACCTGCAACCGACCAACCTGATCGTCATGGACAAACCCCAGGTGTGTAACTCTGTGCCAAGTAACCCTATTCTAGCGTATGTTCCAGCAGAGGTTCAAGAGAGTGATGAAGTTTCTCCTCCGGTTCTCGTGACCACCCGTGCACAAGCCGCACGTCCACAGCCAGCTGACTCTACTGCTACCGCTGTCCCTCAAGACCCTCAGAAACTACCCCCGAATCTGACCAAGTTGGAGTTCCGTAAGTTGCAGAGGGAAGATCTTACTTTAACACCATTGTTTTTCCAGGCTGAGACTCAACCCGACAGTATTCCTGGGTTCTTCCTAGAGAACGACTTGCTCTACCGCAGATATAGACCCAGTAAACTGAAGGAGGAGGACGATTGGGCCAACATCGAACAACTTGTGATTCCTACCAGCCTGCGGCCCACTATTCTACACCTGGCCCACGGAGCACTCTCCCACTACGGCTTCAACAAGACTTACCATGGAATTCGTCAAGACTACTACTGGCCAGGTATGGTAAATAGCGTCAAACAGTACGTAAAACAGTGTCATACATGTCAGATGGCAGGCAAACCGAACATCTCCATTCCCAGAGCGCCACTGATTCCCATACAGGTGCCTGCGGAACCTTTCCACAGACTCATAATAGACTGTGTTGGTCCTTTACCTCGGACCAGTTCAGGTAACGCCTATATCCTAACCATCCTGTGTCCTACCACCAGATTTCCCATAGCAGTTCCAGTGAAGAACATCACGGCTGCTACGGTTGTAAAACATCTATTGAAGATCTTCACTCAATACGGATTTCCCAGGGAGATTCAGAGCGACTGTGGTACCAACTTCACCAGTGATCTCTTCAAAAGGACACTGGAGGAGTTCAACATCAAACAGGTATTGTCCAGCCCCTATCATCCTGCTTCACAGGGTTCTCTTGAACGTAGTCATCAGACTATCAAAGCACTCTTGAAAAAGTTTTGTAGTGAAACCTCTAAGGATTGGGATAAGCAAATCGACCTTATAATGTGTATTTACAGAAGTCTCCCCAATGAGTCCCTAGGAGTATCTCCTTATGAGATGCTCTACGGCCGTAAGTGCCGTACTCCCCTTAAGGCTTTCAAAGACTCTCTCAGAGATGCCACCTTCAGTGAGCATCAGAATGTGCCCCAGTTTCTTCAAAACCTTCAACACATTCTAGAGAGAGTCCACCGTTTTGCCCATGATAATCTATTGAAAGCCCAGGAGAGGATGAAGACTCATTACGACCAGACCAGCAAAGTAAGAAAATTTAAGCCAGGAGACTTCATTCTAGCATACTTCCCTATCCCAGGTTCACCTTTACAAAACAGGTTTTCAGGACCCTACCGCGTCAAAGAGTGCAGAAATAACAACAACTACGTCATAGAGACTCCAGATAGGCGGCGGAAGACCCAGCTGTGCCACGTCAACCTCCTGAAGCAATATAATGGTACTCCTCCCACTGTCCTGATTAACTGTTCTACCTTCACAGAACCCTACATCCACAGTGAGACCTTCCCAGCTTCTCCTCCCGAAAGCACTGACAAGGAGTCAGCGCTTTCTAATTCCGAAATCCTTAATGATCTTCCCAAATACTTTCAGGATAATAATCGTGCTCCTTTGCCCTATTCTAATTCCACTCTCACCTCGTCAGATAAGCCCTTCATCCTCCATGTCGACGCCAGTGGTACCGACGTTGGTGGTGTCGTGATGCAGCAACGAGGCGAGAGAATACACCTGTCAGCGACTACTGCTACAAGGAACTACGGAACAATTGGCAAGGAGCTACTCTTCATCATCCTGAAGCTCCAGCACTTCACTCCACACCTGCAAAGTGCTCGGTCCACCATCAACACGGACCACACCACCCTACACCTCCTGCAGCACGCCCACTTCTCATCTCAACGTCTTCTACTATGGGCTTGCTAACTGCAGAAATTCAACCTGGAGACACGCTATACCAAGATTCCGACAACATCTTAGCCCATGATCTCTCCAGAGTTTATGAAGTAGAAGCGACTCCATCTATTACTCCACCACATAACGACGTACTTCTTCCAGAACCGCAGGCTTCGGGGGAGAGTTGTGACGATAATCTCCTTCAAGAGATTGAGCCTGCTCTTCCCTCCAAAAATACGTCGATACATCTATATAAAACTACTATGGAAGAAATGTCCAACAACGACAACAACATCTCCAAGGTTTGCCAGAGAGCAAAACGTATGCAGCCAGGAACACCTGCTTCACCTCAAACCGCCAAACTACCTGTCTTGTTGCCGGCTCCTCGCTGATTGGCCGCCGGTCTGGCTGCAACTGCACTCCACCCACCATACTACTTGATGTCTGGGGCCGCCACGACCTCAGTCCTCAGAATATTCAGTGCTTTCATACGGTTAACACTTCTTCCTGGTAGACTAAGCTTTGGCTTACGTGTACTAAGAGAGGTGATAGCTTAAAGCCAATATTCCTGCACCTCTCATTTTATTGTATATTGCACAGCTTGTTATTGCTCACTTGTCTTAACGTAACTTTTCATTTTGTCATTTAATTATTCTTATTATTTTGATTGATTGATTTTATTATACGAATTTGTATGTCCATTTTATTCATGTTTTGTTTATCTAACGTAATTAAAATTTCATTGTTAAAATTTACTTGTGTTTTGTGTGTCTTCTCCTTACCTTACCACAGACGAAGTTCCAGATTTTCTATTTTTTTTTATTCTATGTGACGAGGCCATACCCCTAGCTTTGAACAGCCGAACACCAACGCGTTACCGTCACAATATATATATATATATATATATATATATATATATATATATATATATATATATATATATATATATATATATATATATATATATATATGCGAACAATATGAATATCCCCATACTATATATGACTGAAAACTCACACCCCAGAAGTGACTTGGTATGTACAAGACACCTTAATCCACTTGACCATCACGACCGGACATAAGGAAGTGATAGCCGAGGCTATTTGAACCACTTCCCCGCCGGCACTCGGATGGTAATTTTGGGCATAGCATTTTATCAAATCACCTCATTCTCAGTTGCATATTGTCCTGGGGACCATTCAGGCTTGTTCGCATTTGTGTTCCTCACGTGTGCCCCAAAGAATGAGGTGATTTGGTAAAATGCTATGCCCAAGATTACTATCCGAGTGCCGGCGGTGGGGTGGTTCAAATAGCCTCGGCTATCACCTCATGTCCGGTCGGACTAAGGCGTCTTGTACATACCAGTTGCGTGGCTCCTGCGTCACTTCTGGGGTGTGAGTTTTCTGAAAACTCACACCCCAGAAGTGACTCGAACCCATACTCCCAGGAGCAACGCAACTGGTAACTACAGGACGCCTTAATCCACTTGACCATCACGACCTGACATAATGAAGTGATAGCCGAAGCTATTTGAACCACTTACCAAATCCCGCCGGCACTCGGATGGTAATCTTGGGCATAGCATTTTACGTGTGCCCCAAATCACCTCATTCTTTGGGGCACACGTGAGGAACACAAATGCAAACAAGCCTGAATGGTCCCCAGGACTATATGCAACTGAATATATATATATATAAGAACACGTTATACTGAATGGGGTGAGAATAGCTTGATCTACCTTATCTCATTTATTTCATCTTGATCTACCTGATGCAGGGCTGTGTGTGGCGCGAGACATGTCTGATGAAGGGCTCATGATGCCTGATGAAGGGCTCATGATGCCTGATGAAGGGCTCATGATGCCTGATGAAGGGCTCATGATGCCTGATGCAGGGCTCATGATGCCTGATGAAGGGCTCATGATGCCTGATGAAGGGCTCATGATGCCTGATGAAGGGCTCATGATGCCTGATGAAGGGCTCATGATGCCTGATGAAGGGCTCATGATGCCTGATGAAGGGCTCATGATGCCTGATGAAGGGCTCATGATGCCTGATGAAGGGCTCATGATGCCTGATGCAGGGCTCATGATGCCTGATGCAGGGCTCATGATGCAACGATAATAATGTAAAGAACTTTAAATAAAAATCCAAAACAAAAATCTTGAGAAAAGTTTAGCTGCCAGACTTGTCACTGAAGCAGAAAACATTATAGCTCTTGGACACAACCCGAGGCAGGTAAATACTTTCCATGGTAATTACATTCTTGATGTTTAGCCTCATATTAACTGTTATTAAAGACACTGACGTGGGTTACCTGTTACCATGCTAGGCTGGCATAACATGAAGGCTCGAGGAACACAACAGCAACAGTAGATGTGTCCTCCGGGCTCAAGATTACCAGTCACCACATCTCTGCATCTTTGCTCCCTGCAACATTGCTGGAAGGGTCAGTGTGTGTGATCACACGCAGTGTCACCTCAAGAGGTCGTGGGGCCAGTGACAGATATCTCCTGTTCCTGAGCAGAGATCCACTCACAGTCTTCACTCATTCTTCACGGGTGAAGACTGCTGTACCTTCCTCCGGTGTATGCTACTGCTGCGAGCAGATCATGTTCACACTGTCCACCCTGACACACACCCTCGGTCCCTGCTGCTGCTCTTCCGTGGTTCCACCAGCACTGTTGAGGCAGCCGCGGGTGTCCGCACAGTCACCCTCCTACCCAATACATCAATAACATTGATAACTTCGAGAGACAGCATCACTGTAGTTGTCTCCTCAATACAGCCCCCATACTATAGGTCCCGCTCACCCTCGCAGCCGCATACTCCGACAAAGGCTTCCCGTGTTGGGGAGACACATCGGCGTCCAACCCCCAAGACAGCAGAGTAGAATCCAACTTGTTCCACCGGATGCGGTAATATGGGAAGCCTTCTTTCTTAACTGCATCAATGTCCTTATCTTTGATATCGTTGCCCTGCCAGATAGTGCAACACAGTGCCTCAAGATTACAGGTAAAACGCTCGTACAGATTCTCGGCGGACTGTAACCAGTACAGAAGGATAAAGGACTCAAATAGAAGCGAAGGAGGAATGAATGAAGGAGGGAGGAAGGAATGTAGTAATGAAGTGAGTGAGGGAGGGAGGGTGAGGTGGGCTGAAGAGATTATGTGAAGGAAACCAGCAAAGCTGGAGTGACGTTAACACACTTGAGCTATACAAGCAAAACTGAACTACCGTCACTAGAGATGAGAAGGGAAGGATGAGAGCAGGGCCCTGAGATCACTGTGAGAGCAGGGTCCTGAGATCACTGTGAGAGCAGGGCCCTGAGATCACTGCGAGAGCAGGGTCCTGAGATCACTGCGAGAGCAGGGTCCTGAGATCACTGTGAGAGAAGGGTCCTGAGATCACTGCGAGAGCAGGGTCCTGAGATCACTGCGAGAGCAGGGTCCTGAGATCACTGCGAGAGCAGGGTCCTGAGATCACTGCGAGAGCAGGGCCCTGAGATCACTGCGAGAGCCGGGCCCTGAGATCACTGCGAGAGCCGGGCCCTGAGATCACTGCGAGAGCCGGGCCCTGCGAGAGCCGGGCCCTGAGATCACTGCGAGAGCCGGGCCCTGAGATCACTGCGAGAGCCGGGCCCTGAGATCACTGCGAGAGCCGGGCCCTGCGAGAGCAGGGTCCTGAGATCACTGCGAGAGCCGGGCCCTGAGATCACTGCGAGAGCCGGGCCCTGAGATCACTGCGAGAGCCGGGCCCTGAGATCACTGCGAGAGCCGGGCCCTGAGATCACTGTCCTGAGAGCCGGGCCCTGAGATCACTGCGAGAGCTGTGAGAGAAGGGCCCTCAGATCACTGCGAGAGCCGGGCCCTGAGATCACTGCGAGAGCCGGGCCCTGAGATCACTGCGAGAGCCGGGCCCTCAGATCACTGCGAGAGCCGGGCCCTCAGATCACTGCGAGAGCCGGGCCCTCAGATCACTGCGAGAGCCGGGCCCTCAGATCACTGCGAGAGCCGGGCCCTCAGATCACTGCGAGAGCCGGGCCCTCAGATCACTGCGAGAGCCGGGCCCTCAGATCACTGCGAGAGCCGAGCCCTCAGATCACTGCGAGAGCCGGACCCTCAGATCACTGCGAGAGCCGGGCCCACAGATCACTGCGAGAGCCGGGCCCTCAGATCACTGCGAGAGCCGGGCCCTCAGATCACTGCGAGAGCCGGGCCCTCAGATCACTGCGAGAGCCGGGCCCTCAGATCACTGCGAGAGCCGGGCCCTCAGATTACTGCGAGAGCCGGGCCCTCAGTTCACTGCGAGAGCCGGGCCCTCAGATCGCTGCGAGAGCCGGGCCCTCAGATCGCTGCGAGAGCCGGGCCCTCAGATCGTTGCGAGAGCCGGGCCCTCAGATCGCTGCGAGAGCCGGGCCCTCAGATCGCTGCGAGAGCCGGGCCCTCAGATCACTGCGAGAGCCGGGCCCTCAGATCACTGCGAGAGCCGGGCCCTCAGATCACTGCGAGAGCCGGGCCCTCAGATCACTGCGAGAGCCGGGCCCTCAGATCACTGCGAGAGCCGGGCCCTCAGATCACTGCGAGAGCCGGGCCCTCAGATCACTGCGAGAGCCGGGCCCTCAGATCACTGCGAGAGCCGGGCCCTCAGATCACTGCGAGAGCCGGGCCCTCAGATCACTGCGAGAGCCGGGCCCTCAGATCACTGCGAGAGCCGGGCCCTCAGATCACTGCGAGAGCCGGGCCCTCAGATCACTGCGAGAGCCGGGCCCTCAGATCACTGCGAGAGCCGGGCCCTCAGATCACTGCGAGAGCCGGGCCCACAGATCACTGCGAGAGCCGGGTCCTGAGATCACTGCGAGAGCCGGGCCCTCAGATCACTGCGAGAGCCGGGCCCTGAGATCACTGCGAGAGCCGGGCCCTGAGATCGCTGCGAGAGCAGGGTCCTGAGATCACTGCGAGAGCACGGTCCTGAGATCACTGCGAGAGCAAGACCCTGAGGTCCCTGCGAGAGCAAGACCCTGAGGTCCCTGTGAGAGCACGGTCCTGAGGTTCCTGCGAGAGCAAGACCCCGAGGTCCCTGCGAGAGCAAGGTCCTGAGATCACTGTGAGACCAGGGCCCCTTAGATCACTGTGAGAGCAGGTGTTACTGCCACTATGGGTCGCAACCGGGTTCTTTGCTGGAGGAACCAAAGTACTAGTATCCGACCCCAAGTCGGTAGTGGCTTTCAAGGAGTAGGCTTGGTGATGCAAGTAAAACACAAGGAGGGAGTTGAAAGGAATACGACACTTCATCAATTATCAATATATTCACATTTTATTACTTTCCCACCACCTTAAATAGAACAATAAACGAAGTCTCCTCGATGCTCATGCAATGCAGCCTAGTCAACTTCCGTGTTTCCTCAACACACAGTACCGTCCTCAACCAGTACTGGGAAACACCAACGAGTCTACCCTGGCCACAGGCCAGCCTATACACAGTCTCACTAGGTGCTCCTTGTGAACCCCCACAATCACTCTCCAGCCTGGTGCTGGCAGAGAACATCAGCCTCGCGCTGCTGGGCCTCTACACGAACAAATACAAGGGTAGCGAACCCCTGGCAGGAGCTTCTTGCAACTAGCTAGTTACACTCCTCCGTAGCACCTCACTGTCGGGCGTCTCTTCCTCTAGCCAGTCCCGGGATACGTCGAATTCTGTCACTGCCACTTCACAGGCAGACAGCAGATACTACTCAGTTCCTCTTCGGCGGCGGCTCACTGCTCACGCAAAGCAGAATTGAGTAGCGCTATTGGCTGCCCTGGGTAGACTATCTTCGTACCACCGCAGCCCTACGTCGCCTCTGTGGATACAGACACGTCATCAGTACATTGGCTGGTACATTGCGAAACTAGGAATACCACTTACGGACTCTGACATTAACATACACCTCATATCACAATAGATGGCGCTGGTTTCTAGGCGCCACCTCACCAGAGGTGATGCCGAAGTGCCCCCTCACCAGAGGGGATGTTTTGAAGTGAAACACTTCACACTTCGCGACTATTCGGGCTGACCGAGGCAGGAATCTAGCGTCTCTTGCAAGTATCATACTGCCACCACCAGATGGCGTCATCAATTTTGTGGGGGTTTCAGGAGCTGATTCACAGATGGCATTGACGTCGCTGCTCCGTGCTCCGACGGTGGAGTCGGGTTCGTAACAGCAGGACCCCTGAGATCACTGCGAGAGAAGGGCCGAGATCACTGTGCGAGCTGGGCCCTGAGATCACTGCGAGAGCAGGGTCCTGAGAGATCAGGGACCCGGAGATCACTGTGACAGCTGGGCTCTGAGGTCACTGCGATAGCAGGGGCCCTGAGATCACCGGGAGAGCAAGGCCCTGAGATCACTGCGAGAGCAGGGCCCTGAGATTACTGCGAGAGCAGGACCCTGAGATCACTGTGAGAGCAGGGCCCTGATATCACTCTGAGAGCAGGGCAATGCAGATCACTGCGAGTGCAGGGTCCTGAGATCACTGTGGGACCAGGGCGAGTGCCCTGAGATCACTGTGAGAACTGGGGCCCTGAGACAACACTGCGAGAGCAGGGCCCTTGAGATAACTGTGGGACTAGAACCCCTGAGATCACTGCGAGAGCAGGGGCCTGAGATCACTGCGAGAGCAGGGCCCTGATATCACTGCGAGAGTAAGATCCTGAGATCACTGTGAGACCAGGGCTCCTGAGATCACTGTGAGACCAGGGCTCCTGAGATCACTGTGAGAAGCAGAGCCCAGAGATCACTGCGAGATCTGGGCCCTAAGATCACTATGAAAGCAGGGTCCTGAAATCATTGCGAGAGAGACTGCGGGCCCTGAGATCACTGCAAGAGCTGGGTCCTGAGATCAACGCGAGAGCAGGGCCCTGAGATCACTGGGAGAGTTGAACCCTGAGATCACTGCGAGAGCTGGGACCCTGAGATCACTGCGAGAGCAGGGTCCTGAGGTCACTGCGAGAGCAGGGTCCTGAAATCACTGTGGGACCAGGGGGCCCCTGAGATTACTGTGAGACCAGAGGGGCCCCTGAGATCACTGTGGGACCAGGGGGCCCCTGGGATCACTGTGAAAGTTGGGCTCCTGAGATCACTGTTAGAGCTGGGCCCTGAGATCACTGCGAGAGCAGGGCCCTGAGATCATTTTGAGGGCAGGGCCCTGAGATCACTGCGAGAGCAGGGCACTGAGATCACTACGAGAGCAGGGCCCTGAGATTACTTCGAGAGCTGGGCCCTGAGATCACTGCGAGAGCTAGGCCCTGAGATCACTGCGAGAGCAGGGCCCCTGAGATCACTGCGAAAGCTGGGCTCTGAGATTACTGCAAGAGCTGGGCTCTGAGATTACTGCAAGAGCTGGGTCCTGAGATCACTGTGACACCACGGGGCCCCTGAGATCACTGTGGGATCAGGGGGGCCCTGAGATTACTGTGGGACCAGGGGCCCCTGAGTTCACTGTGAGAGCTGGGCTCCTGAGGTCACTGTGAGAGCTGGGTCCTGAAATCACTGCGAGAGCAGGGCCCCTGAGATCACAGTGAGAGCTGGGCTCCGGAGATCACTGTGAGAGCTGGGCCCTGAGATCATTGCGAGAACTGACCCTTAAGATCACTTGGGAACCAGGGTCCCCTGAGATCACTGTGAGAGCTGGCTCCTGAGATCACTGCGAGAACTAGGGCACCCTGAGATCACTGTGAGAGCAGGTCCCCTGAGATCACTGTGAGAGCTGGGATCTGAGATCACTGTGAGAGCAGGGCCCTGAGATCACTGTGAGAGCAGGGCTCCTGAGATCACTGTGAGAGCAGGTCCCCTGAGATCACTGCTAGAGTATGGCCCCTGAGATCACTGTCAGAGCAGGGTCCTGTGATCACTGTGAGAGCTGGGTCCTGAGATAACTGCGAGAGTAGAACCCTGAGATCACTGCGAGAGCAGGGCCCTGAGATCACTGCTAGAGCAGGGCCCTGAGATCACTGCGAGATCTTGGTTCTGAGATCACTGCAAGAGCAGGCCCCTGAGATCACTGCGAGACCAGCGTCCTGAGGTCACTGCGAGAGCAAGGTCCTGAAATCACTGTGGGACCAGGGGACCCGTGAGATCACTGTGGAAGCTGAGCTCCTGAGATCACTGTGAGAGCTGGGCCCTGTGATCACGGCGAGAGCAGGGCCCTGAGATCAATGTCAGAGCAGAGTCCTGATATCACTGTGAGAGCTGGGCCCTGAGATCACAGCGAGAGCAGGGCCCTGAGATCACTGTGAGAGCAGGGCCCTGAGATCACTGCGAGAGCAGGGCACTGAGATCACTACGAGAGCATGGCCCTGAGATTACTTCGAGACTTGGGACCTGAGATCACTGCGAGAGCTAGGCCCTGAGATCACTGCGAGAGCTGGGCCCTGAGATCACTGTGAGAGCTGGGCGCTGAAATCACTGTGAGAGCTGGGCCTGAAATCACTGTGAAACCACGGGGCCCCTGAGATCACTGTGAGAGCTGGGCCCTGAGATCACACTGGGTCCTAGTTGAGACCACTGTGAGAGCCCCTGAGATCACTGTGGGACCACGGGACCCCTGAGATCACTGTGGGACCAGGGGATCACTGAGATTATTGTGGGACCCCCCTGAGATCACTATGAGAACTGGGCTCCTGAGATTGTGAGAGCTGGGTCTTGAGATCACTTCGAGATCAGCAGATCACTGTGAGAGCTCCCTGAGATCACTGTGAGAGCTGGGCTCCTGAGATCACTGTGAGAGCTGGACTCCTGAGATCACTGTGAGAGTGGGGCCCTGAGATCATTGCGAGAACTGGCCTTTGAGATCACTTGGGAATCAGGGTCCCCTGAGATCACTGTGAGAGCTGGCCCTTGAGATCACTGCGAGACCAGGGCCTCTGAGATCACTGTGAGAGCAGGTCCCCTGAGATCACTGCGAGAGCTGGATCCTGAGATCACTGTGAGAGCTGGGCCCTGAGATCACTGTGAGATCACGGGGCCCTGAGATCACTGTGGGACTAGGGGGCCCTTGAGATTACTGTGGGACCAGGGATCCCCTGAGATCACTGCGAGACCAAGGCCCCTGAGATCACTGTGAGAGCAGGGCCCTGAGATCACTATGAGAGCAAGGCTCCTGAGATCACTGTGAGAGCAGGTCCCCTGAGATCACTGCGAGAGCAAAGTCCCTGAGATCACTGCGAGAGCTGGGCCCTGAGATCGCTGCGAGACCAGGGCCCCTGAGATCACTGTGAGAGCTGGGTCCTGAGATTACTGTGAGAGCTGGGTCTTAAGATCACTGTGAGAGCTGGTTCCTGAGATCACTGTGAGAGCTGGGTCCTGAGATTACTGTGAGAACAGGACCCTGAGATCCCTGTGAGAACAGGGCCCTGAGATCACTGTGAGAGCAGGGCCCTGAGATCACTGTGAGAGCAGGGCCCCGAGATCACTGTGAGAGCAGGGCTCTGAGATCACTGTGAGAGCAGAGCCCCTTCGATCACTGTGAGAGCAGAGTCCCTGAGATCACTGTGAGAGCAGAGCCCCTGAGATCACTGCGAGAGCAAAGCCCCTGAGATCACTGCGAGAGCAGAGTCCCTGAGATCACTGTGCGAGCAGAGCCCCTGAGATCACTGTGAGAGCAGAGCCCCTGAGATCACTGCGAGAGCAGAGTCCCTGAGATCACTGTGAGAGCAGAGCCTCTAAGATCACAGTGAAAGCAGTGCCCTGAGATCACTGCGAGAGCAGAGTCCCTGAGATCACTGCGAGAGCAGAGTCCCTGAGATCACTGCGAGAGCAGAGTCCATGAGATCACTGTGAGAGCAGAGCCCCTAAGATCACAGTGAAAGCAGGGCCCTGAGATCACTGCGAGAGCAGGGCCCTGAGATCACTGTGAGAGCAGGGCCCTGAGATCACTGCGAGAGCAGGGCACTGAGATCACTACGAGAGCAG